ATGTTCCTGAGGGGCCCAGGATGTGCCTGAGGGGCCCAGGCCATACCTGAGGGGCTCAGGATGTGCCTGAGGGGCCCAGGCCATACCTGAGCGGCCCAGGATGTGCCTGTTTGAAGGAACTGGTGGAGCAGCCTGGTCTGTCCCCACTTTCTGGCAGTGTCCTTGGTCTCCTGGTTCCTGGCTCAGTGCTCTCTCTCTGCCTTTCCCCATGTGATCCTGTATCCCTCACCCTTTGGCCCTGGCTTCCCCCCACCAGCCCCACCTAGTCCATCTCAGGTTAAGCCATGTGTGTAGTGGTGGCCTCCACCCTGACCCCCAAGCCCTGGCCTAGGACAGGCTCCCTCCTCGAGCACTTGGAGTGTGATTTCCAGCAGGTCCCACTGTAGTGACCTGTAAGCCAGACCTAGAGTACCAGGAAGAATTGTCATCAGCACCCAGGTGGCCCTTGACATTCACTGCGGGTGGTCCCTGGCTCCCACCTCTCTGATAAAAGTTCCTCGGTGCCCGATTTGCTAAGAAAGCAGAGTGGAACACCATGGGGGGAAGCAGCACTGGGCAGGGAGCAGGAACTCGGTGTCAGACCCCCAGCTCCACCCTATTCCTCTTTGTGTGCCTCAGGGCAGTGCATCTCCATCTATCAAGTAGGATTAAGGACACATGTCCTTCCTCCATCACCCCCTTAGCATCTCTCTGTCTGCGTGTCCATCCATCCTCTAAAACCACAGACATCAGGGCCCTCCCCTGCCCATGGCGCCAAGGCCTGGAGCTCATGCAGAGAGAAGGGGGAGGGTAAGATGATGAGAAGCTCCCAAGGGGCACAGAAATTAAGTGCTCAGCCACTAACTGGTGGTTCAGCTTATCCTGCGGCCCCATGGAAGAAAGGACTGGCTAACTGCTCCCATAAAGATTACCATTATCTTCACAGGGGCCTGCTGGGAGGCCAAATGAACTGTTACCGCCTAGTAACAAGTGGCCTCAAGGGACAGTCTCCTTGGAAGGCAATACCCAACAGGAGCTACGATGGTGGAGTGGGAATCAAGAGCTGGGAGGCCTCGAGGGGCAGGGGGCGGCATTGAGAGCAGAGGGAAGGGCATGGGTGAAGATCAGGGCCCTGAAAAGGCAGGTGGCATACAGGGTGTGGCAATGCACACAATTCGGCTAAGACTCGGAGCCAAAGAGGGAGGCCGGCAGGACTTGGAAGCTGTTGGGTTCTCTTGGCCATCCTGAACTTGAACTGGGCAGAGGTGGAAGCTGGAAGACCAGGTGGAGAGCAATGGGCTAAAACGGTAGCATCAAGGAAGCGGGAGGTGGGGTGTCAGCTGATACTCAGTGGGAGCCGTGGCTCCCTATGCCCCTCAGAAGCCTTCCCTGTACCAGGTTTTCTCGGCGGAGGTTCAAGTCAGAAGACGCCCCCAAGATCCAGGTGGCCCTGAGCCTCAGCCTGTTCCTCCTGAACCTCGTCTTCTTTATCACTGTGGGAAGTGCGTCGCAGGGCTCCGAGGCGGCATGTTGGGCCCGGGCAGCCGCCTTTCACTACTTCCTGCTCTGTGTCTTCACCTGGATGGGGCTGGAAGCCTTTCACCTTTACCTGCTTGTCATCAGAGTCTTCAACACCTACATCGGGCACTACTTCCTGAAGCTGAGCCTGGTGGGCTGGGGTAGGTGCTGCCTGCGTGGAGGGATTGGCTGGACTGGACTCCCCGTCCCAGCCAGGCCTTGAGGGGAGAGAGGAGAGGCCAGGCAGGTCCAGGGGTGGGCAACCGGCGGGGATCTGGAGGGAGGTGTGCCCAAGGAGGCTGGCAACGTGGACCTGCTCCTCTTGCTCCAGGCCTCCCTGCCCTGACGGTCATCAGCACTGGGATTGCGGATAGCTACGGCCTCTACAGCATCCACGATGAAGAGAACCGCACCACGCTGGAGCTGTGAGTGTGGCTACGGGAGCAGGGCTGAGCCCTGCCTTGACATACCAGAGATATAGAGAGGGCGAGTGGAGGAAGTCCTAGAAGAGATAGAAATACGAAAAGGTCAGAAAGTTCCTCAGAGCCAGCCAAGCCTTGGGATTGAGGAGTTGAGTCTCAGCCCCTTTCCCAGGAGAGTAGGGTAGGTGGGCAGAGATGAGGGAAGACAGCTTAATCCTCAAAGGTCACCCAGCAGACTTCTAGGGTCTGGCTGGACTGGGCTCACCTCTTCCCATCCCAATGGGCAGCTTCTTCCTCCAGGTGCTGGTTCCGCAAGAAGACTGCTCTCTACATCGCCGTCCACGGCTACTTCCTCATCACTTTCCTCTTCAGCATCGCGGTCCTGGGCCTGGTGGCCTGGAAGATCTTCAGTCTACCACATGCTGCAGCTGGCAAGGAGCCGGGGCTGAACTGGAAGGGGATGCTTACAGTGCTGGGCCTCTCCAGCCTGGTGGGCGTGACGTGGGGACTGGCCATCCTCACACCCCTGGGCCTGTCCACCGTCTACATGTTTGCATTTCTCAACTCCCTGCAAGGTGAGCCCTGTGTGCACACACTCACATCCACGCACGCACCCTCACACAGAAGCACACATGTGCTCACACCTACGTGTGCGTGCACCCACACACGTGAACTTTCTGTGCTGGATTCTAGTGTCATTTTTACCCCCACTTTGGTGTCAGAAGTGGGATATATCTAGTGTAATTCTGCAGCACAAGCTCTCAAATCCCTACTTTCAATTATCCTATCCAAGTTCTCTCGACCTTTAACTTTTTTTTATTGGAGACTCTATTTTTCATTTCCAAGGTTTGTATTTGGTTCTTTTCTGGAAATGATGTTGTTATGTGCTGAGAGTGATTTTGACTCAGAGTGACTCTTTGTCCGAGAGAAGGGAGCCTGGCCCGTCCAGGGCCATCCCTGCAGTCTCGGCTGTGCGTCAGCCCAGTCATAGACACGGTGTCAGTCTGTCACATTCAAGAATCTTCCTATTTCTCACCCATCTCTACTTTCGCAAGCATGACGTGCGGGTCCCTTGAGCTTAAATGCGCAAAGCACACAGGATGAAATCTGTCAGTCTGAGTTTGGAAGGAGCACTCTGGCTGTACTTCCAAGACAGATTTGACTGTTCATAGAAGAGTCAACACTTGATCTTCTTTGTCAGCAGTACAGTTGCAGCTCGTTAAGTAGCAGCTTGTTAACGAAAAGGCCTTGAGTTCAGCAGCCGCCCTGAGGGAGGTGGGGAAGGCGCCTTTGGTCAAGCCTAGGAACCCAGTGGAGGCGGCTCTCCATAAGCTAGAACTACCTCGCCAGCAGTGAGAAGTTCTAGAATTAGGTCTCATTTTGGCCTAATGTCCACAGCCCTTCACTGGTATTTTTAGGGAGCTCTGGTGGCCTAGTGGTAAGGAGCTGCGCTGCAATCCCAAAGGCACTCAGTTTGAATCCACCAGCTGCTCTGAGGGAGAAGGATGAGCAGTCTCCTTCCAAGTGATTTACTGCCTCTGAAAACCCGCTGGAGAGCTGGTTCCGACTTGACAGCACACAACAACAACGAGTCTTTTTTTAATGTAAATATCTTATTTTATTATTTTTTGTATGTACCATCAAATCAGATCTGACGGTACAGGAGATTGCCCCTCCTTCTCCAGCAGACCATCTGGTGGATTTGAACCGCCTACCTCTGGGATTGCAGTGCAGCTTCTTGCCACCAGGGCACCAGAGTTCCCTTTAACAACTAGTCTTTTAAGCAGGAACTTTAAAGCTCCCCCAAGGGCCCCTGGCCCCACCCCCCGCCCCTGCAGCTTACTTCAGCCCTTCTCCTCAATGACAGGTGTCTTCATCTTCTGCTGGTTTGCGGTCCTCTACTTCCCCAGCCAAAGTGCCCCGTCCTCCTCTTCTGGAACTGCCCGAGCAGACCAGATCCACTCTGTGTCTCATGGCTAAGAGGCTGCTGTGTGGCTGGGCTCTGGACTCAGCTCTGACTCGTCCTGTGACCTTGGGTGGGTCTCTGCCACATCAGCTTCAGTTTCCCTCTTCCCACTGTACACTGGAGAGGATGGGGACCAGGTTGGACCACTTGGCTTCAAAGGCCCCCATCCAGATGCATCTAGAGGGGCTGAGAGGCTAGAAACCCAGGTTTAGAGAAGGCAAACAACACTCCCTACTCCTGGGCCCTCCCAGCATAGAGTGAGCCTTCCTCTCTCCCACCACCCACCTTCACAGCATCATCCACCCTCAGTAAGGGTCCGGGCTTACGTGAGGGGGGTCAGCTGTGGGCTCAGCCCTGCCCTTAGCCCTGGTCACTTTCCTCTCACCACTCCAGCTCCTGACTTCCTGTGCCTCTGAGGGAAACATTCTGGAAGGGCACTGCCCCTCAGGCACTGGGGGACTTATGACTGGAATTTTGGGGGAGATAGTCCTCCTATCCAGCCTGCCCTCCTCTCTGTCATCAGGGCCCACATCCCCTAAAGAGCCCCCTCATCAGAGGTGATGCAATTCCGCTGTTGGAGACACACAGCATTTCAGGGCATCCCTGACACAGCAGTGCGACGGCCAGGCAGACCCCACTCTCCATTGGGCCTGCCATGCAGGGGTCTGACCCTTGGAGCTGCAGTCTTTGGGGAGGCCCAACAGGCATGCACATTGCCCACTCGAGGATGGGCACTTCTGCCCCCTTGTGGATGGACATTTCTGCCCCCATGCGTTGTAAGGGGAGGGCCAAGGGGAAGGGGAGGGAGTGGGCTCAATGTTTCTTCCAGAATTGGGGCACCAGGAGAGCCAGGATGAGAAGTGCCTCTCTTGCCATTTATAGTCAATCCAAATTCAGGGGCTGGTGAGGTCCAGGCACTGAATAAATATTTGTTGCCTGAACAAATATATGTGTATGTCTGGCTCCAGCCTGACAGGGTTCTGAGCCAAGAACATTCTCGGGCCAGACTGAGTGGCGGCACCAGTCTCTCTCTCTCCATCACATTCTGGTTTCCTCCATTGGAAGCAAAGAGGTAGAGGTGATGGCGGAGTTAGAGTCAATGCTAAACCACAACGGATGGGCCCACCAGGGAGGGAGTAAAGATGGACAGTGGACTGTGCCCTAGCCCTGGCCCCTCTGGGACATCCCTGACCTCTGAGTCTCAAGGGAACTTTGGGCATGGCTTTCTTGGAGGTGCTTTGGGAAGGTGGTGGCCCCCCAAACCACAGCCCTCTATAGGCTGGTTTCCTGTTGCTGGTGAGGAAGACAGATGGGGAAGAGGGGTGACCTTGGGGTGCACTCCAGTTCTAGTTGGCTTTCTGCCCCAGGCCCAAGCAGGCACTGAGAGTGTGGGGTTCCTGACTGCCTGGGGTTTGTACAAACAGGGCCTCCAAGGGTCAAGGTGGACCCTGAAGTAAATATGCCTCATTCAAACTCTGCCTCTACCGAATTCTGCCTGCCTGAGGGCAAATTCCTTGCAGTCCTCAGCCAGTGAAGTATTGGTCTGGTTAACCTGTTGCTGATCATCAAAAGTTTGGAAGTTCAAATTCAACCAGAAGTGCTTCAGAAGAAAGGCCTGGCAACGTAGTCCTGAAAACTCAAAACATGGGGGACCCTTGAGGACATTATGCAAAGTGAAGTATCTCAGTCACAAAGAGGACAAATACTGCATAACACCGCTGTTGTAAAATAGGACAGACATGAGGGTTGAGGAAGGAATGGGGAGAGAGCGGATAGATAATAAACACGGCATTAGAGGAATATATGATTTAGAACAACCTGGAACAAGGGGTGCATTGGGGGTGGGCTGGGGAGGTGGGAGGAGGGGGAGAAATTGTGCAGCATTGAAAAAATAAATAAAAGGAAAAAATACTTTAAAACTCCACTAAACCCTATGGAGCATCGTTTACTGTGACATACACAAAGTCACCAGGAGTTGGAATCTGCTTGACAGCAACTGTTTTGTTTTTAAGTAGAGATAACAGCTGATGTACCCAAGAGATTGAAGAAAAGATAAAATGAGATACCAGAGGTCATGTGTGTGACCAGTCCGGGCTTTGTCTTGGTTCATAACCTGATAAAGCCTTGGGCTCCCACGGTGGCCCATGCACTTTAGAAAGGAGCTGCATCAGTGAAGCCTGACTGTCCTTCCCTGTTCCGCCCAATTGTCTTCATTCCTTTCACTGCAGCATAATAAATATATACATGGTCTTTGCAATTACTGGCTCTGCATCATAGATCTGGACAATGATTGAGGATGTCGGAAGAAGAATCAATGTCTTTGAGTTGTGGTGCTGGAGAAGAGTTTTGAACATACCATGGACTGTCAAGAGAACTGGCAGATCCATCCTTGAGAGTGTGAAACCAAGCTGCTCCTTGCAGGCAAGGATTTTGAGACTCTGTTTCACTTATTTTTGGCATATAGCCAGGATTGACCAGCCTGGAGAAGGATATCATGCTTGGAGGGGTCAAGGGGCAGCTCAGAAGAAGACAACCCTAGATGAGATGGATTGACACAATAACTGGGGTAATTGAGGGTAGATGTGTACAACAGTGTATGCATGGCAGCTTGATAGGCCTTTACAAACAGTTCTTCATGGAAATGTAACTGCTTGAGTTATGAAGCATTAACGCATTACAAAAATTAGTAAAAAACACCATCAAGGAACAAAATATCACGTTTCGTAAAAATACCCATCAGAATAGTTGTCTATTGCTACTATGTGTTGTGGAGAAATATGCTTATGGAGACGTACATTAAGATTGGCTCAGGATAGAGCAGGGTTCAGTGCTATTGTGCTGTGAGTCATAGTTGGCTTGAAGGCACATAACAACAAAACAACAACTAAAACCTCAGCAGAACTGAGATCCAGATAACTGAAGATTTTATCCAGAGGTGACACCATGAAGTCAGTCAATGTAGGAAAGTGTGTTCATGACTGGCGGCAAGAAAGGATTTCTTCACCAAAAAGTCCAGAGAGCAAAACACCAGAGCAAAGCTAGATGCCTTTCATGACATCAGAATGAAGGCTTTCTGTTCGATGAAGGATCACGGTAAAAGTCGGCAAACTCCGGACAGAAGAGGAAAAGAGCTTTGCTACATAATTAGCTCCCACCCTCCACCCCCAGGAGAAATTAGCATGTGGAAGCTGTGCGAGCCACCCTAGGCCACTTCCTCAAATCAGTACAAGAAAAATGGGCAGAAGCTTTAACTGGGAAATTGCTGAAGGAAGACTGTTGAAAATGAACAAATTAACACATGAAGGCTCGTGCAAAGTCAGTAATCCGAGAAACGCGTATTAAAATGACAAGGAGAACTCACTGTTTACACATGTTATTGGCAAAAAAAGGAAAGTAAGATAGCCTCAGTATCTACAAGGACGGGGCTCCTAGGACGCCTTGTGTATTGTGGAAGGCAGGGAGAGCATGGGCTCATTTAGCTCCCTGATGCAGAATGTGGTGCGACTTCTGACTCAGTGCTCTGCTCCTGGTTCTTTTTCCGAAATACACATTCTTACGGCGTTAGAAGGAACATGACCAATGACAGGGGTGGTGTTATCTGTGGTGGCAAATCTAGGTGTTCCTCACTTTAAACCTGGAGGTAGATGTGGGTCCACCTGGGAAGGGTACCAACAGTGTATGCATGGCAGCTTGATGGGTCTTTACAAACAGTTCTTCATGAAAATGTAAGTGCTTGAGATATGAAGCACTAACGCATTACAAAAATTAGTAAAAATAGCAGCAAGCAACAAAATACACATTTTGTAAAAAATACCCCATCAGAATAATTGTCCGTTGCTACTATGTGCTGTCGAGTACAGTGTGTCTATGGGAAGGTTCATTTAAGGATAAAAGGGTACCAGTGGGTCAGTGATAGAATCCTCACCTTCCTTGTCGTGGGACCTAAAAATGACATGTGGGAGCCAGATTCAATTCCCAGGCAATGTGCTTTAGAGGCAGACACCACTTGCCTGCTGGTGGAGGTTTGCATTCTGTTTCATTGCTGAAGCCACTTCCAAAAATTGGTTGGTGAAAACACTACAAATCAGAATGGTCTGATCAGTGCATCAAGGGGATTGCACTCCAGATTTCTTGGCACAGCTGGATGAGCACATCCAGGGCTGCATCTGTTTATTGAAAAATAATCCATTGGTGCATTCTATCAAACACTCCCCCCCCCATAACTTCAGAGCAGTTTGAGCTTCTTCCTTTATTACCATTGGTTCTTGGTCATATGTTACTTTCCTGAACTGATTCTGTGTCAGCCAATTCTTTTAGGTACAGTGACTCCCCGGATAAACTCATGGAAGCTCACTGTTCGTTTTCTCTGTGCATGACCACTAACCTGATCCAGCTGCGTTCCAGGCAACAGTCTGCAGGATCCTGGCCCATTGTGCATCAGTCTGTACCGTGTAGATCTGCATCACCCACAGTCACGTGGGCCATTTCCCTGACTGGTTTCAGGTTTCTGTGAGACCTTCCAGAGAACCACAAAACCCAAAAGACATAGATGGGAGTGGGAGAATTAAGTGGGGAGAGATAATTAATGTCAGAGATGACTGAGTAGTCTGACAGCTTGGACATTTAGCATAATACTGTCAGTCTTCATTCTATAGGGAAGATTTTTTTTTATGATTGTAAAAGAACTTATTTGTGCGTAATTCGTCTTGTTCTCTTTCGCTGACCTCTAGCTTTCCCAGTCTGATGTCTTTTTCTTTTTTTAAAAAAAAAAATATTAAAATTTTATAGAAATGATGCCTTTGAAAAAAAGATGATGTGAAGATATAATTGCATGGGTTGAATGAAAGGAGACAGTGACAAATCTTGTTTTATATCATCTAAACACAGTGCTTTGTTAGCATTACAAGTACAGTGTGCTTGAAGCAAAATTCTAGTTGACTAAATGCCCCCGCTGCCCTACTTCTCCGTACTAGGCAAAGCCCAGGGAAGAAGTCATGCCCTCTGCCCCTAACTG